GGGGTCTCTCTTTGCCTCTAGGGCCTTTGCTGCTGCCTGAAATGACGGTAAGCTTTGCAACTTGATTTCTCTACCTTTAAAATGTTTTTGTAAATTTATTTTATCTTTGTACCTACCCATCTTTTAGTCAAAGGACCCCATTTATGACAGTAGGAAGCACTCAGAAGATGCCAAGAATTGTTTCCATCCACATTGCCTACTGCCTATCAGTTGTTGGAGTATATGAATGTTAGTTTAGTCTCACTCTTCCTCTACCAGAATGTAAACAACTGGAATGCAGGAAGCCTATTTTAGTCACCAATGTTACCCCAGTGCTACCAAAACAAAAACAATGCCAGTCATGTAGTAGATGATTAATAAATGTTTGTCTAATTGAATAACTAACAGACTTCAAGCAACGCGGAAGCAAGCAACACAGCAAGCAACTATATGATGGCACCTTATGGATTATCTGAAGATCAAGAAATGAAGATGTTGACCTCTTATCAGTAGGGCCTGTACTTTGTTTCCAATCATTGCTCTCCCCTCTGTATCAATCTGTCTCTCAGACAAACTCATGTTCCTTAATGAGTGTCCAATCTGGCTTGTCATCCTCTCTCTGCCACTACCCAGCTGTGACCTTAGACATAGCTTTGGAGCCCTGTGGGCCTATTTTAGCCCTCAAAGGTTCTCATTTTATAAGATGGAAAAAGCCAGCACCTGCTGGTTATTTGTGTGAAGCAAGAACATATTCCTTAAGGAAGTGAAGCAACCACCTGCTTCTGAAAATTACTTTTTCTAAGGAAGTCTGGTTTTGCTCAAGGCAGTTAAGTCAATTCTGCACCTGAGAGGTTCTTAAATAGCATCATTTTTTTTGAATTATTGATTTTAGTCTGTTTGTAAAAAACACAGGGATCACTATTACTTAATATTTGTTTGAGGCTTTGTATTTTTCATATGATTTCACATTAATCATCTCCCACACACAAAAATAGATATGAAGTATAGCAAACTGAGAGAAAAATGAATTAAAATTGGAACTAGTAAGAGAAAAGATCTAGTAAAAGAAAGTCAACAAGAAGCAATATTACCCAAGATGTTCATTGCTGTATGTTTTTCAGTAGTGAAAACTAAAAATAAATTTCCATCAGTGGGAGACTAAGTAAACAATGATGCATTTATACTGTAGAAAGTGGTAAGATGGTTAAGAAGAATGATATGATATACACCCTCAAGGCATAGTATTGAGAGAAAAGAAAGGGAAGTTATAGAATATGCCCAGTATCATCCCATGTGTATGTATAGAAAAGAAAACAAAGCATATCTTCTGACCTGACATATGTAAGTCAACTCATAGAAAAAGGTCTGGGAGGAATAAAATTGTTAAAAATGTTATGTCTGGGAATGAATTAGGGTTGGTGGTGCTTGGTGCAATCAGAGTACTTCACTTTTTGCTCTAGACTTCTGTGTTTTTGGCATCTTATAAAAACATAGTCATGCCTGGTTAGTGTGGCTCAGTGGTTGAGCGTCAATCCATGCACTAAGAGGTCACTGGTTCAAGTCCCAGTCTGGGCACATGCCCAGGTTGTGGGCCTGATCCCTGGTGGGGGGCATGCAGGAGGTGGCCAATTAATGTTCTCTCTCATTGATGTTTTGATCTCTCTCTCCCTCTCCCTTCCTCTTTCTAAAATCAATAAAGAAAAAAAAAAACCAAAAAAAAAACACAAAAAAACCCCATAGTCTTGGTTTTCTTGTGTAATTATAACACCAAAAATTATTGAAGAGAAAAAGATGTAGAACAAAGAGAAATTGGGATATGAAGTAAGATTTGTATCTCTTTGTACTTCTTACTTTGTATACAAGGTAAGAGGTGAGGAGAAGGAAGATGAACCACTTCAGGATAGCAAGTTCTGCCAGTTATCACCACGTTCTGTGATGTTTTGGAGATTGTGCAGTGGTTTCAGGATGGCATATAAACATATCTGCATCAGCCAAGAAGCAAACCATCAATTTGGAATATAAGGAAGCAAAAAACACCCAATCAGAACAGCAAAAAGAAAAAAGCATCCAAAAAAAAAAATGAAGACAGTGTAAGGAGCCTCTAGGACAACTTCAAGTGTGCCAACATTCACATCATAGGAGTGCCAGAAGGAGAAGAGAGCGTACAAGAAATTGAAAACCTATTTAAAAAAATAATGACAGAAAAGTTTCTTAACTTGGTGAAGGAAAGAGACATACAAATCCAGGAAACACAGAGAGTCCCAAACAAGATGAACTCAAAGAGGTCCCCACCAAGCCACATCATCATCAAAATGCCAAAGGTTAAAGACAAAGAGAGAATCTTAAAAGCAGCAAAAGCAAAGCAGTTTGCTATCTACAAAGGAGCTCCCATCAGATTGTCAGCAGATTTCTCAAAAGAGACTTTGCAGGCCAGAAAGGAATGGCAAGAGTTATTCAAGGGGATAAAAAGCAATGACTTACAACCATAATTACTCTATCCCCCAAAGCTATCATTTAGAATTGATGGACATATCAAGAGTTTCCCAGACAAGAAAAAGCTAAAGGAGTTCATAACCATCAAACCAGTATTATATGAAATGTTGAAGGGTCTTCTTGAAGGAGAAGAAGAAAATTATGAACAATAAAATGGCAATTAATATATATCTATCAACAATTGAATCTACAAACAAAATGAGCAAGCAGAACAGAAACAGACTCACAGATACAGAAAACTTTTTGTTGCTTGCCAGATGGGTGGGGGCTGGAGGGATGGGTAAAAAAGATGAAGGAATTAAGAAGTACAAATTTGTTGTTAGACTGATGAACCTCAAAGGGAAGGGGGGGGGGGATGAGATAAACCAAAGAACTTCTATGCATATATGCATAACCAATGGACACTGACAATAGTGTGGAGAAGGCAGGAGGGGATTAGGGAGGAGGGAGTCAGTGGGGGAAAAAAGGAGGGACATCTGTAATACATTCAACAATAGACATGAGTTAAAAAAAAACCCAAAAAACATATCTGCATCATTCCCAAAGGTATGACCTAGAGTGGAAGTCCCCAAATAGACAAAATGCAAAGATTTTTCATAGAATTTTCATATGTACCTTCTTTTGGTCTATTTGTAAGCATGGTGTGGAAAATTTCGTATCTTTAGGAAATATGGGTTTACTTCTATCCTTGAACAAATAATTCTGCCACCATAATAAAACAGTTGTATATATTACAGAAGTTATTTCTCTAGCTCATGATTTTATATCCACTTCATTGGATTTGTTTATTTAGTCCCAATATTTTGATTTAGTCCCATGCAACTCTGTGACCTGGCAGAGAACAGACAAGGCCTGTGCTCTCATGGAACTTATACTCAGGGGGTGGAGGGAAATGACAGTAGGAGCTAAAAAATATGAAGAAATGAGAACTCCTATGATGAAAATTAAGCAAGGTGATATGATAGGGTGTAATGGGGGAACTACTTTAAGATAGATAGTAAGGAAAGGCTTCTTGAGGAAGTAATTCATAAACCAAGGCATGCCACAAGACAAGAAGGAGCCAGATGAGTGATCGTTTGGAGGAAAAGCATTCGGGGCAGAGGGACTAGACCATTAGGTATGTAAGAGCTTGTAGGACTCAGAAGCTTGCTGCATGGTTGGGACAAGGGTAAGTAAGAGAAGTCTGCTGTAAAGACAAGGTAAGAATTTTGGATTTTATTTCAGATTTTATGAGCACTTATTGGGGGAGGGGAAGATTTAAGGGAATCTGATTTAAGTTTATAAAAAGATCTCTTTGAATACCTTTTGATTATAAAGAGTAGAAGCAGGGAGACCATTGGGAAAATAGAGAAGGTCCAGGTGGAAAAAGATGGTGACTTGGAATAGGATGGTAGCTATAGGTATAAACTTGCTAATGGGTTAAAGATAGGGACACACCGAATCAGAGGTGACTCCTAGATTTTGTAGCTTCAGCTATTAGGAGCATGTTTCCTGAGATGGGGCAATCTAGGGAGGAACAGGTTTGAGGGAAATCACTGTCTGTTTTGGATGTATCAGGTTGCAATGCCCACTGGACGTATGCCAGACAGGCAATAAGATAGGCTAGCATGGAGTTCAAAGGGAGATCAGGAATAGAGATCCATATGGGAACCATCTACATACATATTGATGGTATTGAAAGCCCTGAAAATGACTCCAAACTCTCACACTCATCCCATGTCTATGTACCCACCCTATATAAAACTCTCCTACGCAGACTGCTTGCCTTCCCCTTTCTGACTTTGCTTTGGCTGTTGATGGGTGCTTTGAGCTTTACAATGTGAAGGGTAGAGGGAGAACAGTAGAAAGACATGGTGCTGGGCCTGTAATTACAGTAAAAAGAGTGGTTTTCATTTGTGTAGCTCTTGACATTTTAATCATTACCTTATTTACTAAAGTTAAAACTGAGCTTAAAGTGAGTAGACCAATAGATTAGATAGATTCTAGATTTGCACTGTGTTCTTCTGATATGATAACCTAATCATAACTTTTTGTTGCTGTTATATTATATGCCAATATAAGTTACATGAAACAAAGTTTTTGTGCTACTGATTGTTCTTAGTCTCACATGCCGTTGCCTACTTTGTTGAAATACAAATACAAATTAAATAAAAATAAGAAACTATGAAAATTTGTCTTTACTTCCAGATAATATTCCCATTTTGGGTTTGACATTTACTTTCATTGAAATAATGCATGACTGCTTTACATTTTGATCTGTTTTATCAGTAGTGCCCTTATATGACTTTATCCTTATAATAAAAACAATCTTCAATTATATTTATGCTTTGAAAACCCTTTCTTACCCCCATGTTTGCTGCTAGTTTATGACTGAATTTTTTTTTTTTTGACTTATAGATCCAAATGGATTTAGTGTGTTGTTTAGGGCGCAGCACAAACTTTATTTATATATATATATCTCAACAGAATTTGGGGTTTAAAATATGATTGAGCCCTAATTTATCTTAAATGATTGTTGCTCATTGCAGATAAGCTTCCCAGCCTTCCTGCTGACCACAGAGTTCAAGACCCTGATCTAGTAGGACAACGGAATTCACATCAGCCCTAAGCCTGGAAAGATGGTGTCACAGTCTTCAGGCCAGCAGGATTCTCCTGTGGACTCCTGGGAAGGGTTCAGTGATGACTCTGGTGACATTAATGGTTCACCTGGCTTCCTGGACACTGACTACCCCCCTTGCCCATCAGACATCAGGTTCATGAGACACAAAGCTGGCTGGATCAACCCCCAGGGAGTGCAGCAGCAGCTGCAGGATTTACCCTTTCAGGGGCCAACAGTGGGCAACAGTGGCAGCAACTTTGTGGGGGATGCCGGTTCCTCCTTGGGCACTTTACCTTCGTCTCTTGAGAACTCCATTGTGGAGACATCATTGTGGAAGAACACGGTGGGCTCCACGGGAAGCTCTGGTGAAAACAACAGTGACTTTTCTTTTAACTTGACACAAGGGCAGGCCATGCTCCCAGGATGTTCTCCAGAGACGTTTCTGTCTACAAGCTCCAAGGTTTTGGCTGCCTCCCTATCTTCTGAGGCCAACAGTGCTTGTTTCAAGCATTCCCACCTGACAACTTCCAATGGTGAAGGTAACTTTAGTCAGGAACTTCCCTCATTCCTGTCTGTTCACACACTGGCTTTGTCTTGTTCCAAAGATCTAAAGCCTGTCTCACTGTCTTCCTCATAAGAAAAAAGGTCGTGGGTTTCCACTTGGACCAGAAGCCAGTGCATTAGCTCATTTAATATCGTCTTTGGCCATCCACTTGGACCTTCACAGCCAGTGAAATTAACTATTTCCTTTCTCCTTAGATTGCAGGGAAATACCATCTTAGCTCAACTTAGTTGATGATCAGTGCCTCCTGCCAATGTTGAGCTGGTGTGTGCCCTCAGGGACTTCCTGCTTACTAAATTGTCAGAGACAGAGCATTGGAAGCCCTCTCAATTCACTGTGCTGGTGTTTCCAGACAAGGTGGGCTCCATTGCACAACAGTACTTACCAGGAGATGAACTTGCTTTACCTGTTATATTTACCTGGCTAGAGTGTGACTAGAAAATAGTAAGATTTAAAAACAGTAACCACAATTCCCCAAAGGCCGTACAAAACCGTTTTTTAAAAGTAAAACCAAGGGCTTCCATTGCTATGAGGTAATGCACATATTCCTAAAATCCTGTAATTCTTAAAAGGAGATGACCCATGCAAAATGTCACTCAAGAGTCTATAAATCAGCTATTGTTGTTGTTATAATTTATAGCATGCTTATTTTAAAATATTTATTATGTTATATTTACACTTTGCATTAATTTATATTTCTGTTAGAACTCTAGTTCAAATAGTCAATGAAGTATTTTTCTGTGAAAACAATTTTATAAGCTGCCTGCCTGCCTATTTGTGTGTGAGTTTGTATGTGTGTATGCTTGCATGTATTTATTTCTCACTAGCAGGAACCAATCCTCCCTTTTTATAAAATATGGGGTTTATTTGTTCTATTGGAAACTTTGAAAAGTCAAAGATGACTTTAACAGACAGTCTTTAACATATTCATCATTGCTTAAGAATAGCATATTTTAGACAATTTTTCAGTGGACTAACTTTGAAATAAGAACCAAATTTCAACAAAATAAAACAAAATCTGAATAGGCTCATTTTCTATCTTTTTGCTCATCTCTTGGGATAGTTCTCAGGCAAAGAGTAATTCGTAAATGTAGTGGTGGCTAAGTAAGAGATTAGTCTCCTACTAGATTGCTTCCCAGGCAAGAGTAAGGAGAACATGCAAAAAAGAGAAGGCCTTCTCCCCGCAAACCACCACCACCAGGACAAGTTACCCAGTGGCAGTAGGTGATCTTTAGGACCTAGTATATTCCTGCCCCAAATCATTTGTTGTATCACTGCATAGCAAGTGGTTCTGCAATATAAAATTACTCTGTAGCTTTGTCTGTATAGAAAACAGGTACCTCAGCCCCTTCTGTTCAAAGACAGTGACCCCAACAATCTTACTCTAAGTACCTTTAAAAAACCACTCTCTCTTTTGGGAGTATTTCTTTAACTTGGTGAAGGGATTCATTTCATGGGATTAAAAACAAAGTCCTGAGTGAGCTGGTTCTTCCTGTCTTTGGTGTGGGGCAGCAGTGGGAGGACAGGCATTTCCTCTATGATGTGGGATTTTCCTGTGACTGTTACATCTCAAGAGGCAGAAGCAGGGGTTTTCTCTCCTAAATAAAATGGTAGGGAAAGACCACTTGAGCTGTCAGAAATCATTCCACAGTTCCTTTGTTTGCATAGGATCTACACACATACAAAGCACTTCTGCATTCTTTATCTCTTTTAACCTAATAGATAATGATCTCAGTTCGAAGGGTGAGGACATTTCAATGCAGAGGTACAGCTGGTGCATGGAGAGCTGGAACTGGAATCCACACTGTCTGAGTCATCTCTGTGCTTTTCTCTTTACCCAGGGTGCGATAACTATAACTGGGTCAAATTTGGCCAGCCTCCTGATTTTACAAATAAAGCTTTGCTTGTTTTGTCTATAGCTGCTTTCTCACTGTAGTGGCAGAACCGAATAGTTGGGACAGATGCCATATGGACCTCAGATCCTACAGTATCTATTACCTAGTTGCTCTTTTCAGAAAACGTTTGCCCATTCCAGATGGCTTCAGATGCTAAGAGGTTCACAGTTTTTTTGTGGAACAGCGGCTTCCTTGAAGATGAGGCAAGGAATTTGGGTGATCCTGCTTGCCTCTCTGTCACCCTGAGAGGAGTATAATCATCAAGAAGTCAATAGTATTTTCTTCTAATTCAGTGGATTGGGAAAACCTAACTCTTATAGCTCTCACAGAAATGTTTTGCCTTAAAAGCTGCGAAAAGAAATTATTATGTCAAAAATCATTTGTGTTTTGCTGGTATTCATTGCCAATAATGGAGCGGCGTAAGGGTACAGAGTGGATGAGTCAGCTGAATATACCTTCTTTAATTGCTTCTTGTTTTTGATTAGAGGAAGACCATTGTAGAAAAACAATGCTGACATTTTTCAGATACTTTGTTTCTGCAAAAAGGAAGTTTTGGTTCAACTGAAGTGAGTTGAAGAAGTGATTCCATGATTCTTGTGGCTCTGTTTCTAGACTGTTTCTTCTTGCCTTTCTCCATCTCCTTTAGGTCATTTGCATGACCCTCTTCTCTTTCTACCCTCTTTGCCTCATTGGTCTCCTCCATTCCAGCTGTTTTCCCATGTCTTCTCTGTTGTTCCAATAGCCTCTCATAGAAATGATCACCATTAAGGCAATATCTGCAGCCCTCACATTAGAAGGGCCGTTCTTCTTTTATCATCCTAATTTATTCCAGTATTAATTAAAAAAACTGCTACAATATTTAAAAAGCTATTGCTTAGAATTATTTTGTTTTCTTAAATAATCTTTGTACTTCTTTTTCTTCATTTTTAATAATAACTTGCTGTATTGTCAGGTGCTGTTCAAGTCAATGGAAGAAGCATTTCCTTCAATTCCTTCTCACCAGAAACATTTGTGCTTCCTGTTGATGTAGAAAAGGTGACTATATCTTCATTTTCTTCTTTTAAGAACCACAGAGAGTGTTAATCCTTTCGATAGTGCTGCTATGATTTAAATTTGGAAAGTTCCTTGATAAGGCATGGCAAGTAGGTTTCATTTCAGCATTTGACTAGTAGAGGGTAGAGGCTGCCAGGAGCCACACGCTGAGAAGGGGTCTGAGGCAGTGTCTGCACTCAGCTGGAAAGTCTGCATCGTTGATGGATGATGTCAGTCACTGGGCCACTGCCAACTTATGGTTTTATATCACAAGAAATTCAAATTGGGTTGTCTGTTGATTACAGTGGGCTAAATCTTATGTCTGGAAGATACAGGCTATACTTTATGTAATGACCTATGATAATTCAGTTAAATGAACATTTATATTTCTATGCATTAACTCCACTTAAATACAGCTTTTTGATTTTTTTATTGTAATACACCTCAATGAAAAAAGTTGATTATGCTTTTGTATTTTAATTGATAATTTTTTGTAGGAAAATGCCCACTTTTATACTGCAGATATGATTATATCAGCAATGGAGAAAATGAAATGTAACATCCTGAGTCAACAGCACACAGAAAACTGGAGTGTAGAAGAAGAAGAAGCCAGTGGATCACTTGGGAATGATCCAGGTGACTCTGAAGTGACCCTTTATACCAACAAAAAGCAAGAATCGGGGTCTCTCACTTTTTCAGACAGTGACTATGAAGGCAAGTGGGGCATGTATGAGAAATCTTTACACTGTACTCTCCACACACATATATGGCTGTCGAATCTGGAAGTACATCTTTAAATCCTTTATCTAAAACTTCTCTAGTAATCTATACCATCCTCACTATTTCTGCCATTTGGGTTTGGATCAGTTAGCATGCTCCCCTCAGTGCTCAAATCAATGTGTTTCTTGGATTTCATCCTAGTTTTCCATACGGCAGTGGCTGAAGTTTTCCCTCTTCCTTTGTTGTCTGTCACATAGCATTTTTCTAATTCTTCTTCCTTTTCCAAGTAGCCCTCCTTTTTTTAAATTAATTAATTAATTAATTAATTTTTGTTACAGATGTTTCTCCTTTTCCCCCCACGGATTGCCTCCTCCCTCTCCCTCCCCGCCCTGTCCCCAGCTTTGTTTTCTATGTCCACTGTTCATGCATACATGCATATAAGTTCTGTGCTTTATCTCTCCCCTACTGCACCCTCTTCTGGGGATTGTCAGTCTGTACCCCACTTCCACGTCTCTGGGACTACCCCATTCCTCAGACTGTTATGTTCATTATATTCCACAAATAAGTGAGATCATATGATACTTGTCTTTCTCTGTTTGGCTTGTTTCACTTAGGATAATACTTTCCAGGTCCCTTCATGTCGTCTCAAAGGATAAGAGATCTTTCTTTCTTATAGCTGCATAGTATTCCATTGTGTATATGTACAACAACTTTTTTATCCATTTGTCTACTAAAGGGCACTTGGGCTGTTTACAGATCTTAGCTATTGTAAATAGTGTTGCTACAAACATGGGGGTACATATATTCTTTCTGATTGATGTTTCAGGCTTCTTAGGGTATATTCCTAGAAGCGGGATCACCAGGTCAAATGGCAATGCAATTTTTAATTTTCTGAGGTAACACCATATTGTTTTCCATAGTGGCTGCACCAGTCTGCATTCCCACCAACAGTGTACTAGAGTCACCTTTTCTCCACACCCTCGCCAACACTTGTTGTTTGATGATTTGTTGATGGCGGCCATTCTGACAGGTGTGAGGTGATACCTCATTGTGGTTTTAATTTGCATCTTTATGATGACTAGTGATGTTCAGCATTTCTTCATATGTCTCTTAACCATTTGTATGTCCTGTTTGGAGAGGTGTCTATTTAGGTCCTCTGCCCATTTTTTAATTGGGTTCTTTGTCTTCATTTTGTTGAGTTGTATGAGCACTCTATATATTTTGGAAATTAACCCCTTATCTGATATATCATTGGCAATGATGCTCTCCCATACAGTGGATTGCCTTTCCAGTTTGATGATTGTATCTTTTGCTGTGCAGAGCTTTTGAGTTTGATGTTGTCCCATGTGTTCAGTTTCTCCTTTGTTTCTGTTGCCTTAGGTGATTTATCAGTGAAAATTCTGCTGCATATGATGTCTGAAATTTTGTTGCCTACAGTTTTTTCTAGGATTTTTATGGACTCAAGATTCACAATTAAGTCCTTTATCCATATTGAGTTTATTCTTGTGTATGGTGTAAGTTGATGGTCTAGTTTCATTTTTTTGCATGTACCTGTCCAATTTTTGCAACACCATTAAAGAGGCTGTCTTCACTCCACTGTATGTTCTTGCCTCCTTTGTCAAATATTAATTGAGCATATTGCCTTGGGTCCATTTCTGGGTTCTCTGTTCTGTTCCATTGGTCTATATGCCTATTCTTGTGCCTGTACCAGGCTGTTTTGATTACAGTGGCTTTGTCGTATAACCTGAAATCTGATAATGTGTTCTCTCAACTTTGTTCTCCTTTTTCAAGATTGCTGTGGCTATTTGAGGTCTTTTTTGGTTCCATATAAACTTTTGAAGTATTTGTTGTAGTTCTGTGAAGTATGTCATTGGTATTTTGATGGAGATTGCATTGAATCTATAGATTGCTTTGGGTAGTATGGACATTTCAATGATGTTAATTTTTCCAATTCATGAAAAGGTATGTGCTTCCACTTTTTTATATCTTCCTCTATTTCTTTTTTTAATGACCTGTAGTTTTCTGCAAAAAGGTCCTTTATTTCTTTGGTTAAGTTTATTTCTAGGTATCCTAATTTTTTTTTTTTTTGCCTTAATGGTAAATGGGATTGTTTTCTTTGTTTCTCGTTCTGTGAGTTCATCACTGGTGTATAAGAATTCCATCTATTTCTTGATGATAATTTCGTATCCTGCTACTTTACCAAATTTATTTATTAAGTATAGTAAATTGTTGATGGAGTCTTTGGGGTTTTCTGTGTATAATATCATGTCATCTGCAAATAATGATAGTTTCACTTCCTCCTTTCCAATTTAGAGCCCTTTGATTTTTTTCTTCCTGTCTGATTGCTGTGGCTAAGACTTCCAGTACTATGTTAAATAAGAGTGGCAAAAGTGGGCATCCTTGTCTTGTTCTTGTTATTAAGGAAAATGCTTTTAGTTTTTGCCCATTGAGTACGATGTTGGCTGTAGGTCTTTCATAAAGGGCCTTGATTATGTCCATATATGATCCCTCTATTCTGTCATTGCTGAGTTTTGATCAGAAATGGGTGCTGGATTTTGTCAAATGCTTTTTCAGCATCTATTGATATGATCATATGATTTTTATCTTTCACTTTGTTCATGTGATGTATCACAGTTATTGATTTGCAAATATTGTACCAGCCTTGCATCCCTGGGATGAATCCCACTTGGTCATGGTGAATAATTTTTTTGATGTATTACTGGTTCCAATTTGCTAGTATTTTGTTCAGGATTTCGGCATCTATGTTCTTCAGGGATATTGGTCTGTAGTTTTCTTTCTTTGTAGTGTCTTTTTCTGGTTTTGGAATTAGAATTATGCTGGCCTCATAAAACAAGTTTTGAAATCTTCCTTCTTCTTGAATTTTTGAAATAGTTCAAGGAGAATGGGTATTAGTTGTTCTTTGACTGTTCGTAAAATTTCCCCATGAAGCCCACTGGGCCTGGACTTTTGTTTGCTGGGAGAGTCTTGATTACATCTTCAATTTTCTTTTGTCATTATTGGCCTGTTCAAGTTTTCTATCTCCTCCGGGTTGAGTTTTGGGAGACTATGTGTTTCTAGAAATTTGTCTGTTTTGCTTAGATTGTCGAATTTTGGCTGTTCATAATATTTGTTAACGATTCTTTGTATTTCTGTGGTGTCAGTTATTATTTCTCCTCCTTCATTTCTAATTTTGTGTATTTTGGTTTCTCTCTTTGTTTCCTGGTGAGTCTAATTAAGGGTCCATCAATCTGGTTTATCTTTTCAAAGAAACAGGTCTTGGTTTTGTTGATCCTTTGAATTGTATTTTTGGTCTCCATGTCATTTATTTATGCTCTGATCTTTATTATTTCCTTCTTTCTACTTGCTCTGGGGTATTCTTTATGTGTGCTTTCTAGTTCTTTAAGTTGTGAGGTTAGATAGTCTATTCAATATTTTTCTTGCTTCTTGAGGTAGGCCTGTAGTGCTATGAACTTCCCTCTCAGAACTGCCTTCTCTGCATCCCATAGAATTTGTGTTGTTGTATGTTCATTTTCATTGGTTTCCATGAAGTTTTAAATTTCTTTCTTGATCTCCATGGTAACCCATTCATTGTTCAATAACATGCTACTTAGCCTCCATGTTTTCAAAAGTCTTTGCATGTTCTTGTTGCAATTGATTTCTAGATTCATGCCATTGTGCTCTGAGAAAATGCTTGACATGATTTCAATTTTCTGAGTTTGTACCCTAACATCTGGTCTGTCTTTGAGAATGTCCCATGTGCACTTGAGAAGAATGTGAATTCTGCAGTTTTGCAGTGTAATTCTCTGTAGATATCTATGAAATCTACTTGATCTAGTGCTTCATTTAGAGTATGTGTTTCCTTGTTAATTTTTTTCCCTAGAAAATCTATCTAGTGATGTCAGTGGGGTGTTGAAGTCCCCTGCTATGACTGTATTACTCTCGATTTCTTCTTTGAAGTCCTCCAAAAGATTTTTAATATATGTTGGTGCTCCTATATTGGGTGCATATATGTTTACCAAGGTTATATCTTCCTGTTGGATAGTTCCTTTCAATATTATGTAGTGGCCTTCTTTGTCTCTAGTTATGGCCTTCATTTTGAAAATCTACTTTATCAGATTTGAGTATTGCTACCCATGTTTTTTTTGTTTGTTTGTTTGCTTGAAAGATTTTTTTCCATCCCTTCACTTTCAACCTATATGAATCTTTTGTTGTGAGGTGGGTCTCTTGTAAAGAACATATATGTGAGTCATGCTTTCTTATCCAGTCAACTAGTCTGTGTCTTTTTATCAGAGCATTCAAACCATTCACATGTAATGTGATAATTGATATGTACTTATTTATTGCTAGTGTGGTTCTAGTTTTCTTCCTATTTCTTCTACTAATTAGAGCAGTTCTTTTAGCATATCTTACAGTGCTCGTTTGGTGTTAATATATTCCCTTAGCCTTTTTTTTTTTGACCTTCTATTGTGACTGATAGCCTTGCTGGATAGAGTTATCTTGGATTCAGATTCTTGTCTTTCATGACCTTGATTACTTCATGTTACTCCCTTCTGGCCTGTAGTGTTTCTGTTGATAAGTCAGCCGAGAGCCCTATGGGGTTTCCTTTGAAGGTAACCTGTTGCTTATCTCTTGCTGCCTTTAGGATTCTCTCTTTGTCTTTAATTTTTGGAATTTTAATTACTATGTGACTTGGTATAGGCCTATTTGGATTCTTCTTACTTGGGGTTCTCTGTGCTTCTTGAACTTGAATGCCTTCTTCCTTCACCAAGTTAGGAAAGTTTTCTGTCACTATTTCTTCAAATATATTCTCTAACCCTTCCTCATTTTCTTCTTCTTTGGGGAGGATTCCTATGATGTGAATGTTATTACGTTTCCAGTTGTCCCACAGTTCTCTTAAGCTATCTTCCTGTTTTTTAATTGTTTTTTTTTTTTTTGATTTTTCTGATTGGTTGATTTTTTTCTACCCTGTCTTCTAATTCATTGATCCTGTCCTC